GGGTTTTTAATTTTAATAGGGGAAAGAGTTTGTTTTTTTTATAGGAGAACTCGCTACGATTTTTGATCGTATGCCTATGTATCCTCTTATGAGGAATCAGAGTCCCAATTCGTAGTTCGTTTGAGTCGGTGTTTTTTAGGGGTTACAAATGTATTTTGAATCACCTCGCATTTTGACCAATTGTAGTGATTGCGAAGATTTTGGCTAAATGCACGATTAGTCAAAATCCGTTTGAAATCCTTTTGCAAAAACAGTTGATTAGCTTAGTTGATTGCGAAAAATAGTTTGATGTTTGGTTAGTACTTTTTAATCGTGTAAACTGAAAAATTCCTGATTAATGCATGATTAAAAAATATTTAATGAAAATAATATAAGAAAATAATATGCACTTTGAATGAAAATAATTTATCTACATGTTAATATAGTAATATTTAAATAAAATATAATAATAATAATAATAATTAATATGATTATAAAAATTAATATTAATAATTATAAAGAAAAAGAAATAAATAATATGAAAGAAAAATAAAATTAAAAATAAGAATAAGAATTAAAAAAAAATAATTAAGATCGGGGGGGGGGGGGGGGGGGGGGGTTGTAACTATAGTTAACAAGTAAAGCTAGGGGGTGCTGTTAGCAGTTGTGTTAGGCCCAAAATAGTTCAGACAGGGGGTGGGTGCTAAGTGTTTCGTAATTGAGTAATTCAGGACGAAGGGAGGTACAGAAAACAGTGGGCTTAAGCCCATTACACTATAGAGAGGTTCAGGGTAATCGGATGTGGCGAGGGTGTACGTTAGTTAACGCAGACTTGGCCTAGCGGCTGTCAGATCAAGATCCGCTGGATGAAATTGAGGGAACACATAAATTACTATGGGCGTGCGTATATTGGATTGGACGGAATACCCAACATTTGTTTTAATTCATTTTCATTTTTTTATACTTACAACAAGTCAACACTTTCCTCTCTCTCGTATACCCAAACACTTCTCTTCCCCAAATCTCCACCTACCGGCGGCGGCGTCGCAAACCGCATCCCCTTTCACCATAATTCGCTACCCTCAAACAATCATCAGCATTAAAACAACAACAACAAAAAGCTAAGAACTTTACCCCCTTCGCAATTTCTGTATTTCAGATATTGAGTTATGTTAGCTAATCCTCGTTCTTTTTTTTTATCGTAGATTTTGAAGAGGCTTTGGCACGATTGGTGAGGTAACGACGAGGGATTGAAGATGGTGGTGGACAGCGATCAGAGGCTAGCGATTAGGGTTTCGGATATCAAAACCCCAATCGCATCAACCTTCTTCTTCAATAACGAGTAAGAGCTTCTTCGTCTTCGAACGTCTATGAATCATTTTTTCCTCCTCTCTCTTTCGATTTCTCCCTCCTCACTGTTAATTTTAGTTAGCTATTTATAGGCTTTAGATTTTAGGGTTTTGTTAGAGATTACAGTTTTTTAGCTTCGATTTAGGAGAATTGCAAGAATTAGGGATTGAAATCGTTGTTGATTAATTTTGCAAATTACGGATTTTGTTTGTACTGTAAGTTCCAGATTCGATTGTAATAACTTTAATTTTCTAGATTCGATTTGGATTTGTTGTAGTGAAATTAGATTATTGATTCTGATTTGGTTTACTGATATCCTGGATTTAGTTTAAAGATTAGATATAATTTTGTTTGATTTCTACAGTGAGCGTAATAAAGCAAAATGATGCGTTGATTTAGTCATAATTGACACAGTTGTCATTTATTAGCAATTTGGGCCTTGCGCTGGTTTTTATTTTCCTCAGCCCAACGCATTTTTTTCTTAACCAGACTGGGCCTTTTATCTGCTTTTTTGTTATCCAGCAAAACTAATATTTTTTTTATTACAGCAAGAAAAGATTTCTTATGTAACCGGCCCAATATGGCCTTGACACTCTAGTCCAATAACTTTTACAATACCAAAAAACTAATAATAAATATTTTAACGTAATATCCCTTACTGAAATAATATTATAAAATAAAAAATATTGCTAAGATTAAAAACAATATTTACTAACTTTTTTTATAGTAAAACGGCTACTTACTTATTGATAAACATACCCCCTCCTTACTATTTAATGACTAAAACGAAAAAAAATGAGCCCATGTGCATTTTAATGGACCTTTGAATTGCCATTTCACTCCCTTTTCTTATTGCTAACAACAACAATTAAATGGGCTTAATAATTCTCCTAAAGCAAAACAACAAATGGGCTGCTGGAAATACAACATGTCTGCCATTCATAACTGCACCTCCTTTCTTTTTACTAACAATAATAACACCTAAATGGGCTCATGTATTTAATTTTAATTATTAATTAAAAGTAACTCAAACTTAAGTGGACTTAATAATTTAATAACCTAGTAATTATTATCCCTTTGAAATAATTTTCTATTTTTAAATCGCATGAGCCAGTAGCCAACATGTTTTGCGAATGAGTTTATGAGTCTTTCTGATTTAGAAAACTCCACTCCTGAATTAAAATACACCCCTAGTCTTGGATAAAGATGGGTCATCAGATACTGTTGTACCATCCTTAATTAAACATTTCTTCTATTTTAATCTTGAAAAAATAAAATCTTCGGGATAGGGCAAAATTGGGGTACGATACATGCTAACTTAGGTAGATGTCTCCCTTTTTAACCAAACTTTAGAACCACCATTGCTTGATAACATTAGGATTGTTAGTCTCTCTTATACTTTTTCTCTTCTCCTTTTGCATCATTAAAACTAAAACTCTCTTTTCTTTTTTTCAAACTCTAAAACAATTAATAAATAAATATGCGAATCGTATGCAATTGAGTCTTGTGGGATAGAGTGAATCAGTCCATAATGAATCTTGATATTTCTTCCATTTGTTATCATTCCACCAAAAACACCAACCAACTCAAACCTTTTTGCCTTCGGGCCTCCTTCAGTCTTTTCTTTGAAAACTTTTTCCCTAAAAAGGATGTATTATTTCCTCTCCACGGAAAATAACGCGTAATTCTGCAAAGGTCGAGTGGCACTATGTCAATTGCTAGAGTGCGAATGTAATATTATCCGCTTAAAAAATGCAAACCAACCAACATTTTCTAGATGAACTACGAGTGTCTTGATCCCTTATTGCACAAAGGGGGTACGTAGGCACAAAACATTTTTCTTTGTATATACACTCTGCAAGCATGCATTTTTCCTTAGCTCGTAAGCTTTATATATGAACACACCCTTTGATTAGAACAACAAAGTGGATCCCATGAAATACCACGAACGTGAGGGGTGCTAATACCTTCCCCTTGCGTAATCGACTCCCGTACCCGATCTCTTTGTCGCAAGACCGTGGTTTCTCTCTTCTGAAGTTTTCTTTGATGTTTTTATTTCCCTTCTGTGGGATAAATAAATATTCGAAGGCGACTTCATTGATTTTCTCTTGATGATTTTCTTGGTTGTTTCAATAAGGACGTTAGTACAATTCACCTCTCTGTCATATTTTGATAAAAGAGCTTCCAAACTAGTCGAGTGAGTAAGCTTCTTCCTCCAAGCAATACCTAGATACCTTTTTTGAGTCGGAATCATTAAATAAAGATATCACTTATGGGCCAATGTGATCATGAGCAAGCCGAGGAAGATGTGAATCAGGGGATTCCCCGTTTTCGCAGTAGAAGAAGTATCGCTTCTAGAGTCACTCACTAGGTTAACAATAATATCGCCCATCTTGACTAAAGAATGGAAAATATTGAAACATAAAAGCTGAGTTGAGGAGGATATCTAGTTGTGTGATATTGACGAAGCGAAGTAGATGAAGAATGAACAAAGACTCTAATCAAGGCACTACAATCAGTGTGATTGATACTCTCAGAAAAGAAGAGATGATGATGTTTCTCAATAAGTGACTGAATAAACTTAAATGTCAAAGATTGTGAAAATTTCCTAAAATGCTTAACCCCTCGTATTTATAAGAGAAGGTAATTGAACAACTCAGATAAACTAGAGAGAAGTCGCGAGATCAACGTCTGAATTTCTTCTTAAAAGTACATAGAACTAGAGAGAAATCGCGAGATCAAGGCTATATTTCTCCTATTAATTTTACTTATTTCTCTTTTCCTATGTACTACTAACAAATTTACTAAGTTGGTTAGGTTGTTAGACCTTGTTAGCGTTTCTAAGTCCAACTAATATTGTATAAATAAACATTATTAGTTCATTAGTGAATTTAACTCTAGTGTAACACAATAAAAATTGAATGTAAATGTAAATTACAATACACACGAACTAGTTTTACTTTCTCTTTCTCTTTTATGTATGAGTATAGTTCTAACCGTTATAACAATCTATATTAAACAAGAGGATAAAAAAAAATATACATTAAAGTTCTTAAATATAAAGTCAAATTAAGGATAAATATTATACATGTGGCAATATATATTATAGCATATATAAAGTAATAATACCGTTTGATTTTCATGCACACGACACCTTTTGCTTCTCTTCCATATAACACATAACTGGCATATGAATCCAAACACGTCTCTCTCTCCCTTCCTCTCTCTCCCAACTCTTAAGTTCAAAGCTTCACCTTCCAATGCTTTTTAAACAATTACAAACTTTGCAGAATTAGATCAAAAGAAAGCAGAAAAAAAAAAAAGAGCTAGCTAGTATTCATAGAGATTGCTGAAAAGATTCTAAAGTTGCACTTTGTTCTTTGTCATGTGAAGCATCAAAACTGTTCCTGATCAACAACAACAAAGTATACAATATGGCAGAGCTTCTATTATTCACATGTCTTTCACTACTTTTTCTTATTACTCAAGAGAGTTGACAAAAAGAGAAACACCCTCTATTTTTTTTTTAATTATTTCTTTTCCTAAGGTGAGTTTTTTTTTTTTTTTGATTAATCAAATATAATCTATATTTTTATTTTTATTTTTGTTTTGAATCTAATTTTTTATTTTTATTTTTTGCAGTGAATTTCTCGTTTGAGAAAGTACTTATTATGCTGCTAAGAAATAGATCAAGAGCAGTGACTAAGCCAAATTTAATGGCTGATCACAGTTCTCAACAATCTTCCAATAATCAAAACTGTGCTAAAAAATCAATCCCACCAAAATTATTCAGAGATTTCACCAACAATACTATTCTCTCAGAAGCTCTGAAAAGTCCAACTTCAATTCTTGACACTAGAATATTACTTTTATCACCTTATGCCTTTGGAAAATCACTTTTTCATGACAAGAAAATCCAAACAGTTTCCAACAAAAATTTCTCATCAAGAAGCATTGGTCTTGCTCTTATAGGTAATGATGATTCAGTTGATGAGAATGATTCTGTTGAACCAAACAAAGGAAATGTTTTGTTTGGAACACAACTTAGAGTTAAAACTCCATCTTTGCCCTCTCCTATATTTTCTCCATTTGATTCTCAGTCTCAAATCAAAACCAAAACCAAAGACTTACCAAATTCTATGTCTTTGAGTGAGATGGAACTTTCTGAAGAATATACGTGTGTGAAATCTCATGGACCTAATCCAAGAACCACTCATATTTTCAATAATCATGTTGTTGAAGAGAGTTATTGTTGTTTGCCACAAAAATCTAACTCATCTTATGGTAATTTCCTTAGAGTTTGTTACACTTGCAAGAAACATCTTGAGCAGACAAAGGACATCTTTATCTATAGGTGAGCTACACTTGCATTAGTTCTTATTTATAAATCACTGGCACATACACCAGAGACCAAACAAATAACTGACACAAACACCAGACACGATATTGATACTGATGCAGTGACATCACATGACATCGTTTTGTTCAGAGGTGTTTGTGCTATACATGTTCTTACTATAATTGTATTTAGATTAAATGATGTCTCTTTAAATATGATATAAGATATTGTAATTTTGATTTTCAGAGGGGAGAAAGCTTTTTGCAGTAAAGAATGCAGGCACAGAGAAATGGTGATAGATGGTGTAGAAAGTTTAGAAGAATTCGAAAGTACTAATGCTTAATTTTGAGGATGATAATTAAGAAAGTGAAGACAAATTTTTTCTATTATTCCTCATTATGATATCATGACTAGGTTGGTAGTAATAGTAATAAGTAATAGTAGTATTAGTATATTTCATTGTAATAAAATTAAGTTTTATTTTTGTCCATTTTGAAGGGTATTTGTTTGTTTTTTTTGTGTTTGTTTTTGAGCTCTCCAATGGAAATAATAGAGATAAGAGAGGGTGTTGAGTTAATTCAAAGTGATGACTTCTAATTTGATTGCTTCTGGTTTTTGCCACCATTGTTTTCGGATGAAGCAGAAGATGATGTGTGATTGAAAACATTGTTATTTTGTCTTTTCTTTTTCTGTGTATGAGGTTATGATAATGATGGTGCTGCCTATTATAATGGATGGGGACCAGTTCATTATTTCTCACAAAGATTCCCCTCTTTGCATCTACTCTAATAATAATGGATATGCATCAAGAGTATAAAACAATTTTAGACACAAATATCAATAGAAACCAAGTGATAATATTATAATGTCATATCAAATGAATAATGTGAGAGTGAACTTTAGAGATTATAAAGTTATCTAGAGAAAACTTAGATATTTAAATTTAATTTAGTTGAAAAATTAGATATAATATTTATGATATCTAATTATGAGAAAATAATGAAGGAAGTGAAATAATATTTTTTTTTATCTTTTAAAGTAAGATTTGGTGTCTTTTATATTTATTAAAGGGTGTATTTATACTAGTAGAGATATTGCTATTATAGTTGTTATTATTATTCTATCTTTGACAAATTATATGTCACTAATAATTTGTCATTACTATTTTAAGTTTGACTATTAGATAGAAATTTCTAAATAATTATAATAATACTCTTCATTATTATAACACTTCCCCTTAGAAATATCTATCATGGTGCTCATTTGAAATCTTGTTGAAGAGAATTTTATGGGAACATACGTTGCCTCGTTAAAAACCTTATAAGGAAAAACTCATTGGGATAAAAACCTTAATAAGAGAAAAAGAGTACAATATTACGCTCCTCCTCAACAGAACACATATAGTTCTTCTTTAAAGATCTCGAAGGTGACGCATTCCAATATTTTGTATATGCTTCTTGAAAACTGATGTAGGAAGTGTCTTTGTAAAGATATTTGTCACATTATCACTTGAACGAATATATTGAATATCAACCTCTTTGTTTCTTTAAGTTCTTGTGTGAATGAGAAAAACTTGAGAGAGATATGTTTGGTTCTATCACTTTTATGTAACCTTCTTTCATCTGGGTAACACATGCAACATTGTCTTCATACAAAATTATTGGGTTATTATCAATTGGTAAATCAGACGCTTCTCGGATATGTCGAGTTACTGATCGTAACCATCTACACTCTTTGATTGCTTCATGAAGGGCAATTACTTCAGCATGATTTGAAGAAGTTGCTACAAGTGTTTGCTTTTGCGATCTCCATGATGTTGCAGTGTTACCATATGTAAATATATATCCAGTTTGTGACTTAGCATTATGTGGATCTTACAAGTACCCTTCATCTGCATAACCAAGCAAAATTGGTTTTGTATTATTAGAATAAAACAAACCAAGATCAGATGTACCTCGAAGATATCGAAATATATGCTTTATTCATTTTCAATGTCTTTTTGTAGGACATGAGTTGAATCTTGCTAGCAAATCCACTGCAAAAGCTATATCAGCTCTTATATAGTTAGCAAGGTACATAAGTGTCTCAATCGCACTGAGATATGGTACTTCAGAGCCAAGATCTTATTCATTACCTTACTTAGATCTAAATGGATCATTGTCAATATTAAGTGTTTTATCCATCGTTGGAGTACTCAAAGGGTTTGTTTTGTCCATGTTAAATCTTTTTAATACCATTTCTGTATAATTTGATTGATGTACTAATATACTATTTTTAGTATACTCAATTTGTAAACCAAAACATAACCTAATTTTTTTCCAAATCTTTCATTTCAAATTTTTCTTTAAGTAATCTCTTGCTCCCTTAATTTCTTTATTAGTTCCAATGATATTTAAATTATCAACATAGACAACAATTATTACAAAATCAGATATTATTTTTCTTATAAAAACACAAGGGCAAATAGGATATTCTCGTAGCCTTCTTTAAGTAAATATTCACTTAATCTATTAAATCACATGCGCCCCGATTGCTTTAATCCATATAATGATCTTTGCAACTTAATTGCATACATTTCTCTAGGTTTTGATGCCTTGAACATTTTAAATCCTTCTGGGATTTTCATGTATATAACAATGTCAAGTGAACCATATAAATAAGAAGTAACAACATCCATAAGATACATGTCAAGATTGTTAAATACTGATAAACCAATTAAATAACAAAAAGTAATGGAATCCATAACATGAGAATATGTTACCTCATAATCAATTTCTAATTTTTGGTAAAAACCTTGTGCAACAAGACGAGCTTTGTATTTGACAATTTTAATTTTCTTATTTCATTTTCTTGCAAAGACCCACTTATATCCAACTGGTTTCACATCTTTCGTTATAACCATAATAGGGCAAAATACATTTCGTTTTTTAAGAGAATTTAATTCAGTATCTATAGCATCCTTTCAATTATTCCAAGCATGTCTATTTTGACATTCATTCATAGATCGGGGTCGGGATCATCATTTTTATTCATAATTTCACATGCAACTGAGAATGAAAATAACTTATCAATATTCACACATTTTCGGTTCAACAAATTTTCTGTATTAACATAATTAATTGAAATCTCGAGATCATTTTTTATTTCAGTTTCATTATCAATTATATCATTATCATCATCTTGTGCTTCTTCGAGAGCATGCTTTTCAATCGTGGATTTATTATTATTATTCAGTATCTTTTCAAGGCCATTTTCAATCAAATTCACCTTTTCTATTACATTTCTTTTTCGAAGATTTTTGTCTTTGAATCTCATAGGGGCCACACTTAAAATGTGCCTTAGATGTACTTGATACATCATTTAGATTTGAAATCTCAATTCTAGCTAGAACATTTATTGCTGGTACATGTGACTTTGTCAGTCTTTTCAAATCAGTAATGAATCTGGTAATTGATTTGCTAAATCTTGTAAGTGTACTATTTTCTTTATATTTTCTTCCCATGATCTATTATATGGGTCCAAATGTAATAAATGAGGTGCATACCATGTTATGTCATTTTCTATCTTTTTATTTTTCCCCCCGGCGTTGGAAATTTTGTCTCGTCAAAATGACAATCAACAAATCTTGCCTGAAAAACATCACTTGTTAAAGGTTCAAGATATTTAATAATAGATGATGATTCATATCCCACATATATTCCTAACCTCCTTTGAGGTCCCATCTTTGTTCTTTGTGGTAGAGATATTGGGACATATATTGCACAACTAAATATCTTTAAATGAGAATTATTTTGTTCCTTACCAATTGCAAGTTGATTAGGGATATGTTTATGATCAGCACTTGGCCTTAGGAGGATGAGTGTTGCAGCATATAAAATTGCATGACCCCAAACTGTAACTATTAGTTTAGTTCTCATTATTAATGATTTAGCAATATATTGGAGACGTTTGATTAAAGACTCGGCTAAACCATTTTGTGTATGCACATAAGGAACATGATGTTTAACAAAAACTTCAATTGACATGCAATAATTACTAAATGATTCAAATGTAAATTCACATGCATTTTCAAGTCTAATTTTTTTATAGTGTAGTCAGGAAATTTAACTCTAAGTTTAATTATTTGTGAAATAAATTTTGCAAATGTCATATCACGATTTGACAGTAAGCATACACATGACCATCTATTAGATACATAAATTAATACCATAAAATATCTGAATGGTTCTGACGGTGGATGGATAGGTCCACATATATCTCCTTGAATTTTTTCAAGAAATGCCGATAGTTCTGTCTCAATCTTACCTGGTGAATGATTTGTTATTAGTTTGCCAAGAGATAAAGTTTCATATGGTCTATCTTCTTTTGTAAGTTTTAAACTTTTCAATGGATGACCATGCGTACTTTCAACTATTTTACGCATCATTGTTGAACCAGGGTGATCTAAACGGTCATTCCATAAATTCATAACTTTGGGATCTTCTTTTACTACTAAATTACATTCAATTTCAGATATATATGTATAATGTAATTCAGAAGGTAATTTTGGCAGTTTTTTCAAAATTTTCTTCTTTCTCAAAACATTGGCAGTGATAGTAATGTATTTCATATTATCTTTAGTTGTAGTTTCAGTATCATATCCTTGATGATATATGTCATTAAAAATCAATAAATTTTTCTTTGATTTTGGAGAGTATAAAGCATTATTAATGACAAATTTTATCCCATTTGGTAATATGAACATAGCATTATTTGTTCCTTTAATCAAATATGCAAGACCTGATATTGTATTTATTATACCTTTAGTAGGATTTATTTCAGTAAAGTATTTCTTACTTTTGAGGATTGTATGGGTAGTCCCACTGTCCGGAGTGCAAATGTCTTTGACATGTTCCATGTATAACCTTCTTAAAATAAAAATAAGATTAAATAGAGAGTAAATCAACAATATATTAAACATTATTATTTCATGCAAAACATAATATACAACATACAAATACATAATCTAAATATAAAATAATACAAACACATCACACATTATTCAAATAGTTACTTAATCCATTGATCCTTTAACAAAGTCAGTAGTTTCAAAATAGGTATTCTCCTTTCGTGTTCAATCTCATTAAAATTCACTTCTTTCCTTTTTTCTCTACAGATGTCATGTGTCTTTTACACAAATGATCTGGTGTTCTACACACCTTAGACTAGTGGCCTTTCTTTCCGCATCTGAAGCATACATTCTCATAACTTCTCGAAGGACCTTCTTGGGCATACTTACCCTTTCCCTGATGATTCTAATTATTTTTGTCATATCTGGGAGATCTAAAATTATTCATATGACCTCTTCCACGTCCTCTACCACGAAAATGGTTTCTCCCGTGGAAAATGTTTCGACCATGATATCCTCTTTGACTGTGACCATCAAAACGAGCACGACCATTATTACCATCAAAACGAGCATGACCAGCATGTCTCTTAAAACCATTAAATCCACCACACCCACGATTAAAGGTTATGGCATTAATTTTAGGATATGTTATTGTTCTTGTGGGTCGTGACTAGTGTTTTTTTATAAGGATTTCGTTATTTTATTCTGCCACTAGAATGGCTGCAACTAAATCAGAATATTCAATAAATTCCCTCATTCTATATTATTGTTGCAATAATACCTGAAATGCATGAAAAGTTGAAAAAGTTTTTTCTAACTTTTCTTTTTCAGTTATAATTGTGCCACAAAATTTCAGTTGTGCTATAATCTGGTGCATAGAGAGTTATATGCAATGACACTTTTGTAATCTTGGAACT